GTTAGCAACAATAAAGTTGGGAAATGTTATGGAGAGAGGAATGGATGCTGGATAGGAGCTAACAATTTCTACTATGATAACCTACTTACTTCATTTTATTTATTTATTTTTTGAGTCAGGAGCCTCACACTGTCACCCAGGCTGGAGGGCAATGGGATGATCATGGTTCACTGTAAGCTTTACCTTCCGGGCTCCGACAATCCTTCCACCTCAGCCTCCTGAGTAGCTAGGACTACAGGAGCACACCACCATGCCTGGCTAATTTTTTAATCTTTGTGGAGACAAGCTCTAAGTTACCTAGACTGGTCTCGAACTGGGTTTGAGCAATCTTCTCACCTCAACCTCCCAAAGTGCTGGGATTTACAGGCGTGAGCCGCAGTGCCCAGCCAGATAACCTATTTATTTAAATGGCCATAGTTTAATATGGGAATTGTTTTGTCTAATCAGGTGTTTTGTGGTGTTTTTTTTAAAGAAACAGTATCTTGTAACAAAAAAGATGCATCCTAGTGACACCTTGTCCTCAAAAACTGCCAGAGGTAGAAATTGGACCAGGGGCTATATTCTAGAATATGATTCCCTTCTTCCCCTGCAAATGAGGTAGTCTTCAGTGGTCTAACAACTTGTCCCACACAGGGCTGGTCCACACTAGTGACAGATCACAGCTATGGCCTGCTTTAGAAGTTCAGTTAATGTACCTTTCTTCAGCTGGGCCTTGGTCATCCCCCATGAACACTGAAGACTGACCCAGTGACCTAGCACCAGGGACACAAAATCCCTAATTTCCATGAGATTTGTTTAATAGCATGAATCTAGACTTGCCTACTCCCATTAGTTTTAGGTGAATACTGGGTGCCTATTTAACTTAGGTGCCTACTACTTGCCAGATACTGCCAGGTGCTTTGCCTTTGCTATATTTCAACAGAACCTGGGAAAGAAAAACCTGGTTCATTCTACCTTGGAGTCAGGAGCAGAGATTTGGGGCTTCTGATTTCTGTAAGCCATTCCATCCCCCCTGTTAGAGAATGAAGAGAACCACAGGACAGAGACAGCACCGTTGCAGTGTTTAAAGTCCCAAACAGCTAAAAACTCAAACTTCAGGAGGCAGTTTTCTAGGCTGTGAATTACTAGCATCCTTCTTTTACAGATTCTGTAATGCAGAGTATAAATTTTAGAACCATGTCCCCCCCAATTCAGATAGATTGTGACTAGCGACTAAAAACTTAAGCTAGATTTTCAATTTGCAGCCAAGAGGTGGCACCATAACACAACAGCAGAAAGCCACACATAATTTGAAGGGAATTAACTCAATTGTTTTTGAAGTGAGCAGCACTATTAGGAAATTCATTCTGCAGTGCCTACCAGTCTCACACACTGTGATCCTCCTTCGCTTCCCAGAGACATTCCTTAACCTTAGTCCCCTCATACCTTAAGGAGTTTAGCTTGGGCCAGAGTGTATTGTTACATGGGGGTCAGCTTGGGAATATGGGAGTCCTGGCTCATTGCCGTGGCGGAGTAGCATGGTCCTGGGGACCTCCCTTAACTCTGCAGTTCTCAGAAATCCATGTAGTTAGTGTTTTTTAAAATGGGATTGGACTGGGCAGTTGGCAAGGAGCTAATTTCTAATCAGGCTGCCAATTAGCTTGAGTGAAGAACACCTGTCAAATAGATTATCTACCTAGTGGGATCCTCGAGCACATTTTGTCATTTTGGTAAATCTCTTTAAGAGAGTCATCATTTGAAGGCTGCTTGGAGAGCTTGGGACCACAGACAGGAAAATCGGGGGCCAGGATTAGGGAGCTATGACCATCTGGAGCTCCCATTTTTCTTTGGGGTGGACCTACCACAGCTCCTCTTGGGACAGCATTGGAGACAATGATCCTTCATGGCACAGGAACTCTTTTTTTCTAGGCTACAAGATGACCACCTACTTCTATGCAAATAGGCTTTCCTCAGACAATCCCTATAACTTCAGTTGATAAGGGTTTTAGCATTTTATTATCCAGCTATGTGTCCCAGGGTCCATCTAGTCACCTGAAGTTTGGGTAGGGGGGTACTCCCCAGACTTTGCGGCTACAGGCTACATACTCCCTGGTCATTTCTACAGGACATTCATCTATGATGTGGTTTTACTATTGCAGTGGTTTTCAAATTCTTTCACAGTCTTAGGTTTCCTCAGAGACACCTTGGAGGACAGAGGCACTATGGAGAGCAAGGGAGTAAGTCAAGAGAATTGCAAGCCTTCAGTCCTCTTCTATACCAGTACTGTCCAATGTGGTAGCTGCTCATACCACATGGCTACTGAGCACTTGAAATGTGGCTAATGGAAATTTTTTTTTTTTTTTTTTTTTGAGTTGGAGTCTCGCTCTGTCACCCAGACTGGAATGTACCACACTCCCGGCCACCACAGCCTCGACCTGCTGGGCTCCGGCAATCCTTCCGCCTCAGCCTTCCAAGTAGCTGGAACTACAGGCACGTGCTACCACTCCCGGCTAATTTTTTTATTTATTGTAGAGATGAGGTCTCACCAAGTTGCCCAGGCAGATCTCGAACCCGCAGGCTCAGGCAATTCACTCACCTCAGCCTCCCAAGGTGCGGAATTACAGGCTGAGCCACCGAGCCCGGCTACTAATGGAATTTTAAAATGAAAAAGAAAAGCACCCTAGAAATGGAAGCAACACAACAGAGAAGACGCTGAAAACGGTATGGAATTTAGAGGGGAAGAGACAGTAGCATAAACAGAGAGGAAAATGACAGCTAGGGAAGTCAGAGAAAGATTATTTTTGTATTGTTTAATTTTATATTTTGTAAATACAAAAATGCACAGGAAAAATGTACAAAGGAAAATTTAAAATGAGAAAAATACGACAAAGCTCTGGCTATTAGCAATTATAGCAGCTTTATTTACCTAATTCAGACAAAGAGGCTGGAGATTCTTTAGGGAGTTAAAGGTACTAGCAGTGGGAAAAAACCATGAGATCATCATCACATCATCCCCTAAAGCTGTCTCAGGAGAAGTTACCAAAACCCAGAGAAAATCTAACTGGTAATTAATACTTGAGGCTCTGTGTGTCCCTTGGGGAGAGGAATGAAAACACCATCTGATTTAGCCCATGTATGGGGCTCTGTGCCTCTTAGGAAGAACAATGAAAACACCAACTGAATGAGCCTGTCAAGACACTGATGAAAGATTTGTGAGCTGTCCTTGCACTTAAGTCAGTCCAGAGATACCTCACTCTAACACTGCAGGCACAGCCATGGACTGGGTACTTACTCACCATGCCTAGCCCAGTGCTGTGTACTTTATGCTTTTGCTTAATCCTGCAATGAGACAGTCAAATCACACATTAGTAGTTTCTGAAAATTGTTTTGTTCAGAGAGTGTATTGCTCTGTCACCCAGACTGGAGTGCAGTGGTGCAATCATAGCTCACTGTAACCTGAACTCCTAGGCTCAAGCAATCCTCTCACCTCAGCCTCTCAAGTAGCTGGTACTACGGGCATGTGCACCATGCCCAGATAATTTTTTTATTTTTGTAGAGACAGGGTCTTGGTATTAAACTCCTGAACTCAAGTGATCCTCCCACCTTGGCCTCCCAAAGTTGGGATTATAGGTGCAAGCCCAGCACGTTAGCAGTTTTGATGGAAGACTTGTCTTCGTTGTTAACCTGGTCTTTCCATTGCATCCTGTAAATCTTTAAATCTGAAAGGTATTATCCACAGCTCATCTCTACTTTTTCAATCTGACAGCACCAATAACTGAATTCCTCAGAGGTAAGAATGTTTCTCCAGCACTCAAGAGGCTTTTGTAGTGTTTTGTTTGAGTTGGAGTGTCACTCTTGTCACCCAGGCTGGAGTGCAGTGGCACATTCACAGCCACTACAGCCTTGAACTGCTGTGCTCCTTCTGCCTCAGCCTTCCAAGTAGCTGAAACCACAGGTGTGTACTACCACACCTAGCTAATTTTTTGATTTATTGTAGAAACAAGGTCTCAACAAGTTGCCCAGGCTGGTCTTAAACTCCTGGACTCAGGCAATTCTCTTGCCTCCACCTCCCAAAGTGTGGAATTAGGAATTACAGGCGTGAGCCACCGCACCTGGCCCTTTGAAGTTTACAGCAGCAGAAGAGTTACTTCCTCTTCACCCCTGGCATACCCTGATGTCGTGCAGCCCTACTGATTGATACCCATGCAGCCAGCTTGGCCCAAGGCTATACTTTCCCAAAATGTCAAGGGAATCTCTACTTCCATCCTTATTATCCTTAAAAGCTAGTCCCACAGTTATCAACCAGACTCTAGTTGACTTGGTTCCATAATAATTTAATATAGTAGGAGGCAGGAGAAATATTTCTTAAGAATGTAACACCTGGATACATCTGAATCCTGAAGGATCACTCTATATACTAGTAATATTAACTTCTACCAATATCAACAGCTATTTTCTCCTGTTGGTCTTAATCTAAATTTAAAACTTGAGAATTTTAAAAGCATAACTCTAAGTTCATAAATGAACAGCAAAGATTCTTTGAGCAACTTATGTAAGTTTTTCACACAAATTTCTAAGTTCATAAACAGCAAAGATTGTGTGACCTATGTAAGTTTTTCACACAGAATTAACTAAAACCTATTTAGTATTTCAAAATTCTCATTTACATATATCAAATAAGCTTCTTTGGCTAAAATACAGGATACTGAAAGAAAAATCCAAATAGGCATTTCAAGGAATATAATAGTTTATATATAATACTTTCATTTGTCCCACTTTACAAAGTAAGCATTTTCACAATTAAACATTTTCAGCTAACTGAAATCCAATAGTGATACAAGCCACTTTAAGCTGGGAGTATTTTTTATTTCCTACATTTCCTAGTTTTAAAAAAATTATCTTTCACTACAAACAATAGCGCTAATTAAAAGAAGTCAACAGGCCTAGGGTATAGTTTTCCATATATGTCTGAAACTGTATTTGGACTGAATCAATCAAATGTAATAAAAAGTCTAGAAATATTTTTAAGGTATAAAAAAACTGTATTTAGGAACAAGGTGTAGTTCTTTAATAGAGTCCACAATTAGTGCTATCAGTGACCTTCAGGGTAAAAGATAATTTCATTTTAGCATTCTACACAAAATAACATTTCATTTACTCTTAATTCTATTATAAACTCCCATATTTTTCTTTAGGTGAATAAAATACAAAAGGAAAATTACAACCTTGTATGCTGAGCATAAGGAATGCAGCTTTGGAAACAAAAACTATGCGAAAAATCTTCCCTGATGTCTTTTTCCTATATGGTTTCAAGAACTCAAAAACTATTCTTGGAGCAGGGACTCAAGGTTATCTATTCTAGATAACCCCAAACCTGCCTAGTACTCAAAAACAAAATAAAACACAAAAAGCTATCTCAAGTCCCCAGCAAACTGTTTTCAAAAGGACATTAATCCAACATGTTTAGTAATCCACATTTGATACTCTTAACGTTAGGGCCAATTTTCAGACAGGAAATGCTACTAATTTCAGCTCAACTTTTATACAAACTGTCTTCTACATTTGATGTGTTATTTTCTGAAGGATATAATTTGCTTTCCTTTTGCTAATTCACATATAACTTCACTTAAGGGAACAACTACAAGTTCTTTAATTCTCAATGTCTCCTGCCCTACCTCGTCTTCTATGAACTACTCTACATCCTTTATATCAATAATATGCTTGCTTTACAATTTATCAAGTACTTCCCACTGATTCAGCAAATGTTTATGCAGCACCTATTATGTGCCACTAGGGGTTTAATGGTCACAACTCTAGTTTCTATTCTCAAGCTCTTCCTTTGGTCATTTATTTGTATAGCCCTGTGAGGGTGGTGGGTAGATAATGTTCTCATTTTTATAGGTTAGCCAATAAACTCAGGGTTTAAATTTATTTTTTCAAGGTCACATATCTTATAAGGACAGAACTGAATGCCAAAACTCCTTATGCCTAATGCTGTATGTTAGTATAACAGACCGTCAGCTTGAAAGTAATTCTATTTGACACTATTTTAATTCTTTGATCTCAAATTATCTTTAAGTTTTTTTCATGTTATTTTTCTATCTCATGAAGCAGAAACTGTGCCTTTTATTTCTTCCTGGTTTTAAGCACATAAGAGGTAGTTTAATAGTGTCTACTGTTAAAAAAAAAAACAAAAACTATCATCACACAGATTACTCATGCAGCTTGCAGAAATAACTCATGTTGAAAGAAGATTCTTCCTATTTTTTTCAAGCAGGGCTGATATTCAGGTCACTAATTAGTGTCAACAGTTGGCACAGCACAGAATCCTGCCCTAAAGCTATAGTCAGCTACTTTCTCAACTGATCATTGCCTGTGCTTTATCAATTGATAGATATTTTTTAAAAAACCCTACTGCAGCCATTGCTTTGTTAAACTCTGGTGTGGCCACGGCCACCATGGTTCCTAGCTTTGGCTCCCTCCCCTACATTGGAGAGGTGAATCTCCTCTCACTTTAATGTACTTCCTAAATTAACCATATTTTTCAATCTAAAAAATAAAATAACTCTTTTCTTTCAGAGAAGATCCTGGGGCCAATGAAGACTCTCTAAGCTAAATATCTATACTATTAAAATCTATCTTTATGTAACAGCACTAGCTTGTAGTTGTAATTGTTGTAATTACTACAATTGATGTAATGATTAGAAATGTCCAGGGAAAACCCTTTCCTTATTATTAAAATTGTATTTACATCTCACTATGAATACCTGATTTATTAGATCCTTTCTAATAAAAGTTACCTGAAAGGGTGGCTCTTTAGGAAGTGGGGATGAAGAGAGGTGGATCCAGAGCTCGGAGTAGTACCTAGAGAAGTCAACCTCAAGGGCCTAGAGTTAGAGGGCTAAGAAAGAAGGCAGCAAAAAACAGATTTAGGAAGCTGTCTTGTAATTCCTTTGACCTATGATGAAACTTGCACTCTTAATATTACCCTTAAATCAAATAAACCCTTTTCAACAGACATGAAGGACAGAGCAATAAAAAACCAAAAAGCTCCTCTCACCATAAGTAAGCTAACTGCCAAAACTTGGGAGTAATGTTACTTAAACATTTTTAAAATTTTATTTTAATAAAACCATTTTAATAAAATGGTTTTCTATGAAAGGAAGTTACATTATAGAAGAGGAAGCGGCAGAAGTGTGAATCTGGAAGTAAATATAACATTGTAAAATCAACCCACATGAAATACCAAAAAAAGAAGATAATGCAGCATTATATACAGATGACTAAAAGGGAAAGTTTGAACATTACAGAGTTAAACGTTTGTAAAATGTAAATTTTGACCTGCTATGTTTAACTTAGCAAAAAGCCTTAGAGTTTGTATAAAATTTAAAATGATGTGTTGTCTAATCCCACCCACCACCAGATCAAAATACTGAAACAGAATTCCTTCCTCATTTTACAGCTTTATCATTGGTTTTCCTCTAAAAAGAGACCAAAATAATTGCAGAGCTGACTCATACCTACAAAGTAAGGAATCACAAAGTACCAGAGTCACATAACAAAAGTAATAAAAAAAAATTGTTTTACCTTTCAAGAATTAATGTTAATATATAACACATCACAAGTAAGCATAGCTATGCATTCATGAGCTGACTGTACTAACCTCTGTAAAATTTTTTAAATGAGCACATCTGAGTATATGGATACTCCCTTAGAAAGTAAAAGCAAGTATTTTATATTTTAAATTTTTTATTTCTGTGTAAAACAAAGACAGAACTCCTAGAGGTCAAATAAGAAAAATAAACCAACTCAAAGCACTATTAAGTCATGGAACAAAAAAAAAAAAAATCTGAGGTAGAAGTCAAGCCATATAATCCATAACATTTTTAGGTATCCCCAGCAACCCGCGCATCTCTCTGTTAAGATCTGTGTTTTTAAAAAGTCTCAAATCCAAAGAATCAATAATCCATTCTCTAAAATCAAATGTAAAACTATGAACAACACACAATTTTTTTGTCATGTTAACAAAGTAAATGGTTTTACCAAAAGCTACTGACATTTTTATCAGTAATAACCATAAGGAGGCCGTTGGTTGTAACTATAGTGTCCATATTGGTGGGAATAGTAAGGTTCTTGTCTGTGCTGTGGGTAACTGTTACCCCAGGATCGTCCAGGCCACTGATTGGATCGATTATCACTTGGCCACCCCCGTCTGCTATCCTTACCTCTAAACTGTCTGTTATCATGCAACCTACAACAAAACAAAAAAGATTTTTAAACTTCACTTGTAAAAAAAAAAAAAACACACATGACAAATCTATTCCAATGCATCTGGTTCCTCACTCAAATATACAGTAAATGAGTAAAAAACATTTTACAATACAGAATGTGATAGCACCAAATATTCAAAATTTTCCTAAGATTTAAATCATTCTATCAATATCATACAGGACACACTTTACAAAGACTAGGCAGACTATAACAAACCCAAACCAACAGAACAGTTCTGAATTAAATTTGAAATCTATTCAACTGTACAAAAGCGGTATGGTAATTTATTCCTTTAACTATTCTGAATTATTAAATAGAAGTAATTCCCATTTCATAAATACTTTCCTGAAGTAAAATCAAACAATAGTTTCTTAACAGAGTTGAATACAAGTTTTAGAAGACTCTGTTTTTAAAGTATATTTGCAAAGAAAACATTCGTTTCCAGAAAGAAAATTTAAAAACAAAACAAAAACACACAACGCACACACAATTGAACAGCAAGGAAAAGAATATATGGTGCTGACAAAAATATTAAAGCAAATATTTATCAGGTACTTACTATGTGTCAGGATGCTAGGCAATAGGTGTGCCATACTGAAAAAACTGGTTATGCCTGCCCTGGCTTTAAGGTCTACCAGATTTAAAATATTTTCTCCCAGATCAACCATCTGCATTTATTCTTCTGAAATAATACATACCGATTGCCTCTGTTTCTTTGGTTCCCACCAGCTTTGCTATTCCATTCCTCAACAATTGGAGGAGACTCGGGAGGGCGCTTCAGGTATTCCTGGTACTCTTTGTCATCTTCTGTGAATCTATTGGCAAACATCTCTTCAAAATTTGGAACAGCTTCAGCAGTGTCAGTCATTCTGAAATTCTGTACAGTTTTTAAGATACTTACAATTACAAAATTTTTTAAAAACCGACACTAGTTTATCAGATACTGAAAAACCAAGTAAATAATTTTAGGCAGGAGTATTCATGGAAGTCCTGGTGTCCTTTCAAGCTTAAGATAGATTTTAGACATTCAACATTTCTTAACTAGTATATTGCAGGCATTGTGCTAACTAGGAATACAAAGATAAACAATATAACATGAACTGTGTCCCCAAAGAGCTCCCAGTCTAGTAGAAGAGATATGCTATAAATATAAAAGGAGGAGCAGAGGTTATTTTTAAAAATGAGGTTACAGAGGTAGGCAGGGGTAAAATTGTGAGAAACTTTATATTCAAGGCAAACAATTTTGTACTTTTCTGGTAGGCAATGAGAAATCATAGATGGTTTTGGGAGGGATGTTTCAAAGTCAAATTTACTATTCAGAAGGATCACTTTACTAACAGTATTTAAAAAATATATCTGTGAGATTAGATTAAAGGCAGATTGCAGCATGTGATAACATGCTGAAGGCTTAATATGAAGCAGGGACTATGAGAATAGTTTTTAAAGTATTCCTGAAGAAATTAATCACTGACTAGATGTGGGAGGAGAAAGGGGAATAAAGGATAACTCCCAGGTTTCTGGCCAAATGACTGGGCAGATTATGGTGCCATAGGAACTACAAGAAGGATGGATAAGGATACATACTGAGTTTGATGTTATCTATAGTACATACATCCAAATGGAATCAGTTCATAATTAACTATGTGGGACTGAGAACTGGGTTGAAGATGAATTGGGAGATATCAGCAATTTTGTTGATGGTTAATGCTTTAATAATAGATGAAACTCCTCAGGAAGAATGTGTAATAAGAAGAGTATCAGAGAACAGAATCTTGGAAAACAACATTTAAAGAACAGGTAAAAATAAAGAGGAATAAAAGAAAACACACGGATAAGAGGCAAACCAGAAGAGATTATCTTAAAGGCAGGAGAATAAAGAGTGGTCAACACTGGCAAATGATATAATGATAGAAAAAACCCCAAAAAGAATTAGCGGGTATAACCAATGGGAGATGACTAAGCTTTCAAGAAGCTTGGCTAAAAACAGGAAAAAAGAGGGCAGTAGCTAAGGGGTTACTGAGAGATTATCTCTTATTTTACCTAGGCTAAAACACCTGAAGCTATTTATGAGCAAAAGAAAAAGAACCAATAAGAGAAAAACTGGACATATAACAGAGATATAAAAATAGACAAATAAAAAGGTATTTAAATGCACAGCTTTTAAAGTTTAGGGAAATTACTTATATCCACTGCATTTTTATTACAGATCCCATGACAAATGAAAAATAACTACAATAGATAAGATATTGTCTAACAGTTATAAAAACCAAAATCTGTATCAGCTGGGTTTTCCAGGCCTATTATGGATTCACTTAACAAGCAGTATCTCTTCACCCATATTCTCCGAGAACCCTCTACCTCTAGGAAAAGATTTGGCTTAAAGTGTAGAAAGCCTAGTCCTTGAGAAACCAGGGGAGAAAGAGTTCACTCCTTTTACTCTTCACCCAAGACCTGGAAGCCAGCCCTAATATTATGTAGGTAGCCCCCACTTCCCAGTCTTCCTTGACATGTCAGCATTCCCAACACCTGCCTTTCCTATGCAAACCCCATCTTTCTGCCCTTTGCCTCAAGATTTCTAAATATGTCTTGGGGCATATTTAACATCATGCTGAAACTTTAAAACCAAATCTCTCCCTCTTACCCAACATCCTCAAATTATTTTTCTTCTTGTATTAATTCAACTTCTAATAAAAAGTTTTTGACAAAGAGATGTGATATTGGGAGATAGCATCTTCATTAGTCTGTTTTTCCTCCAGATTCCTCAAAACGTATGGAAATACTTGCAACATTTATCATATTACCTTTGTCTCAACAAAATTAAACAAAAATTATTGTTTGGATGCAAGAAACAATGAGTAGACACTTTACCTTTTGGGCTACAGCTCTCTTAGAGAATATGCTTTATCAAACACTAGACTTTCAATGTGTCTGGGATTTGCAATCTCATGTCAAATTCTCAAATCCAAGGAACGAGCTTAAAATAAATTCAGCTAATTAGAATCGTGCCTGAATTTCTATAGGGATCAAAGAAATCACTAGAATTTGATTTCCATACCTTATTCAGATGGGCAGTAAAAATAATAAGGCAAGGGAAATGTGCCACTCCATTTTTCTGTTCCCCCACGACTTCCTATCCACAAGCAAGTAAACAAATATCGCCTTTATTATTACTAATAAGAGCGGAACTTACATAGAATTTTCAGTGATCCAAGCTTTACTTACCCCAAGGATCTGAGGCAGCTGTACTGCTTAATGTTTAGGTTGTTTAAATCTGTGGGAGAAAAAAAACGACTTTCTTTAAGGAAACCCTCAAAAGGTGGGAGGCTGGAGGGCAAAAGAGCCTTAGCCAATGAAAAGAATTGAACCAAAAGTGCTCTAAAGACTCCCAAAGCTAATATTCGAAAGAGGGAACTAGCGCTCACAGGGTAGGGCTAGAAACTACAAAACTTGTCCTCCGGGCTTCCAAAACCAACAAGCTAGTTCCAGTACAATAATAACTTCACAAGGTATGTCCGTGCCTGTTGAAAATAGAGTAAGCCTTTCAGATCTGTACTCGAACGCTATTAACTTATTCACCACAAATAAAACGGCACAAAACTTTGCCTGCAGGGACTAACCCTGGAACTGCCTGCGCAGAATTAGGGGTTCGCTGCCCTAAAGGTGAGTTCAGAACACAAAAAAACTGATGGGAAACAACTGCGTTTTTCAGCCCGTCCTCAAAGCACATCACAGCTTGTTTACCAAGGCCCCGACAGCAACTCGCATCTCCAGAAGTGAGCGAGATGAGCCGTGAGAGGTCCATGGCCTCCGGTCGAACAGAGCAAACCACCGCACACACCGAGGACACCTCGCCCCCCGCTCAGCTCGGCCCTGCCCGCTCCCTCTTCCCAACTTCCTGGGCAACTCACCCGCCAAGGGCGGTGTCTACCCAGCTAGGGCCGAACCCCGCCGGTCAGGCAAGCAGGAGTGACGGACTCCAGGTCACCACACAGTAGGAAGCTTCACCCCCTCCGCTCTCCAAGGTAACAGAGCGTCTTCCCCTAGATTCCGACAACCACCTGACTTCCGCTTCCGGCAGACGAACGGGGGCGGGGCTGCCTGTCAGGTCTCGCGATATCTAAGACTCACCGTGCAGACTTTTTTTGTTGTTGTTCTTTTTTGCAGCGAAGCGTTTCTTCAAACTCTGGCGAGACACACGGAGCTCAACTAGACGTAGTCAGGGAGCGGGCTAAAAGTAGATGATGCTCTCCATGCGCTTTCAGCCTTCCTGGTGACGGCTAGAGACGGAAGTTCTGGGAATATGCCGAGGAGGGGAACGCTACCTCGGGCTGCCTCCTCCCCGAGGCTTCGTGGAGGACGTGAGGTGAGCGCTGGCCGCGAAGTAGACACGCCTGGGTTACTTCTGCCACGCGACACTTTACCCTCCCGCCCGGGCAGGTCTTGTAGTAAAAGTCCCATTGTCCGTTTTGTACGTGTTTTTGCAGAAACTCACCCACTCTCTGCTCCAGCTTCAGTCGTCAGTATCCAACTACCTCCAAAGGTCTTGACCGTTAGTTCTCGAATGTTCCCCAAGTGTATAAACGCTTACTATCCCACACACAACTTGGCCAGTTCCCTCCCAAATTGCTTCGTAGACGTGCACCTGTTTTTGTTCGTGCAACCAGCTTGGAAACTGGAATGTCAGACGGGATGCCTTTTCTTGCCATGCTCTGGTCAGTTGCCAAGTCCCGTCACTTGTGCCCCTGCGGTGACTCTGGCACCATCCATCCCCCCTTACCCACTGTCTCCTCCTAATCAATTCTCACCGTGCCCCACCAGAATGCTTTTTTTTTTTAATACTAATACCCCTCAAGAAGTGAAATGACTTCTCCAAGATAATGAAGCAAAAGGTCTCCTTAGCATCCCTGAACGGTGGGAATGCGAAACCTTTCTCATGTACCCTCCCTCTGCAGCACCAGTCCCTACCAGCCCACCTTAGAGTAGCTGCTGCGGGTTGAGTCATGAAGGAGAGCCCTGATTCAACACGTTCAGTGTCTCCCTGTTGCCTGAAGATTAAAGGCTAAATTTGTTCACTTGGATTCCAGCCTCTAACATGGTGTTCTGCTGTTGCCCTTCTCTGCTTCCTCTGTCAGTGGGTCAAACAGACCATGTGAAGTGCTTCTTGCAGGAACCACCCACTACGCTTCTATAGGCTGCTCTTGTCTTCCTCATTTCCAAATGTTGAAATTCTGTTCATTCTTTAAAGCTTTAACAAGTGGCATCTCCAGCTAGTAGTAATTTTACCTTCTTTTGAGAGTCCAGCATATTTTCTGAATTCATGTTTTCAGTTACTACCAATATCCAACTTTGAACTAAAACTGTAAACAGACCTTTATCTAATTCATTTCTACATTTTTGTAGTATAACTGTGCTTTTTTTGCATAAAATAAGCACTCAGCAAATATTTGCGGAATGAATGATGGAACTGTGAATAATCCGTGTCATGTTCTAGAAGCATTAACCTCACAAAAGTGTATAGGATATATGGATGGGGAGATTTGATGGTGTTGGGTAGTAGAGATGAGCAGCGTAAAGACCAAGGTTACAATAATTGAATAGTGATATCCTTAGTATCTGGGTAGATGATAGGAGGAAAATATTGGTAGGAATCAGGGAGGGTTCCAATTCTTTGAGCCTGAGAAATTGGGACTGAAAAGTAATATCCATAGAGTAAGTTAGTTTTAAGGGGAAAATGAGCTCAAAGTTCAAATATATTTGTAAAATTTGAGATAGTGAAATATCTAAGAGAAAATTTCTAGGAGGTTGTTAGAATTACAGGTCTAAAGCTTAGGAAAGAGAGATATTTATTCCCTGACTATGTCGATGTGTGAGTCGTCCATGAAGAAACAACAGTTGAAATCATTGGCATATAGATGATTACTTCCAAGCTTAGGATGGTTTGACTTACAGTATTTCGACTTTGCAGTGGTACCGTGTGCATTCAGTAGCAATCGTACTTCAAGTACCCATGCAACCATTCTGTTTTTCATTTTCAGTACAGTATTCAGTAAATCACACAAGATATTCAACATTTTATTATAAAATAGGCATTATGACATATGATAGATGATTTTGCCCAACTGTAGGCTAATGTAAGTATTCTGAGCACATTTAAAGCAGGTTAGACTGAGCTTATGATGTTTGTTAGGTTATATTACTAATTGCACTTTTGACTTACAGTGTTTTCAGCATACAGTGGATTTATCTGGACGTAACCCCATCATAAGTTAAGCAACATTCGTATATGATTTTTCCAGTGGAGAAAGTATTTATAGAAAAAGAGCAGAAGGCCAAGGCCTATGCCTCAAGAAATATCCATGTTTAGGGGCAAAAATAGGAAATATAATACTTGAAGAAGAGAAATGTAACAGTTGAAAAACTAAGAAAAATGCTTTCCCACCTAGTATTGGGAGTCAGGATATTTGGAAAGGGGGGTCATGGTAGGCTAGTTTGCCTGTTTCCTTGTGCCTATTATGACATTATTTATAAGTAATAAGAATTCACCCAGAAAATAATATACAGTATCCCTAATCCCAAAGTCCAAAATGCTCCAGATCTGAAAATTTTTTGAGTGCTGACTTGATGCTCAAAGGAATCGGATTTTGGATTTCCAGATGCTCAATTGATACTTCTTTCTTTTATATGCACATACAGTATTTAGGAGTGTCTAGGCTCCTGAGAGTTTCTGTAAGCCTGTTTCCAATTTTCAAATAAAGTTTTTTTCCCATAATGTTTTCTCATACTCTCATATCAACTATTATATCTCCTTTTCTGACATCAGGAAATAATCTGTCTCATGAAGGAGAATTTTCTAGATGACTGACACCTTAAAGCATCAAACCTTTTCATTGGAACCATTTTTAATGGAAAGATATGTAAAATGTAGTATTAGTTCTATGATATAACCAGAATATATGGGCCATAATTTTTTATTTCTTGGCAACTAAAAGTCATTGTTAGATTATTAGTGATTATGTACTGATGGATAGTAATATCCTTGAGCCTGTTGATGTGTATAAGAAAGATTAATAGTTGCTTTTGCTGTCTCTGTTATCATTTCCCTCCACACTGGATATTAGTGTCTCATCTGAGTGTTTCATCTTCTGGAAATTTTATATGTTGACCTAATTTCACTGTAGTCTTTGTTAAGTTTTTAATTTTTTAATTATTATTATTTTTTGAGTTGGGTCTTACTATATTGTCCTGGCTAGAGTGCAGTGACATGATCACAGCTTACTGCAGCCTCAACCTCCTTGGCTCAGGCGACCCCTCTGTCTCAGCTTCTTGAGTAGCTGGGAATACAGGCACACACCATCACGTCTGGCTAATTTTTTTTTTGTAGAGATGAGGTCTCCCTATATTGCCCAGGTGTTGAACTCCTGGGCTCAAGCAATCTTCCTGCCTCAGCCTCCTAAAGTGCTGGGATTACAAGCATGACCCACCACACTTGGCCAAGTTTTTTTTTTTTGAATGAAGTATGAAGGCATCAAAATGCAACACCATGAAATTTCTTGTATTTGTAGACATTTTGTTTGACTTAGAAAGTCCTATTTTTTTTTAATTGTGGCAAAATATATATGACAAAGACATTTTATTTGACTTAGAAAGACCTATTTTTTTAATTGTGGCAAAATATATATGACAAAGTTTACCATTTTAACCATTTTTAAGTGCACAGTTCAGTGACATTAAGTACATTTACATTGTGTAACCATCACCACCATCCATCTCCAGAAATTTTTTCATCTTTTCAAATAAACCCTGCCATAACTTCACGTTCTCCTCTTCCTCTGGACCCTACACCAACCATTCTGCTTTCTGTCTTTATGTATTTGACTACTCCAGGTATTTTGTATGAGTGAGATCATACATTATGTGTCTTTTTGTTAATGGATTATTTCACTTAGCATAATGTCTTCAGGGTTCATCTATGTTGTAACATGTACCAGAATTTCCTTCCTTTTTGATGAGTATTGTTGCATTCTATATTTATACCATATTTTGTTTTATTCAGTCATCTGTTGATGGACACTTGGGTTACTTATTTTGTGAATAATGCTTCTGTGAACATAGATGTACAAATATTTGTTCAAGTCCCTGCTTTCAATTCTTTTAGACATACATCCAGAAATGGAATGACTGAGTCATATGGTAATTCTATTATTAATTTTTTGAGGAAGCACCATAGTGTTTTCCATAGCAGTTGTGCCATTTTACATTCTTACCAGCAGTGCACAATTATCCATAACTTTAAGTCTTAGTTTGACTCAATAATCTGGAGGCAAAACATGCTACCAGAAAGTCCTGCAGAATCCTGGTATCAAAAGAGCCCTGCTTTCTGAGGCCATTCATGATCTTGGACAATAACCACTTTAAAGACGTTAAAACTGCAGATCAAGAAGTTATATAATTTACCAAAGGGCACAGCTAGAAAATGGCAGAGCAGGATTTGGATCAGGTCTATAGTACTTTAAAAAGCCTCACATTTTCCTCAGTGAAACACTTTTCCACTTCTCATTCCCTATTCCACAAATCTTAAGTCACCGTAGACAACTTGTTATTCTCTACACCTGCTGATTATGTCTCTTGATATCCCCCTTGCTCTTGTTATTCTTTCAGCCTAGAATGTCCCTTCTGTATTCATGTGGCAAAATCCTACTTACACTAACAGCTCCCATCAGTTCATGCAACATTTCCTGATTTCCCCCAAATAGTCTCAACCATTCTCTCTCATCTCTGTGTCCCCAAAATTATGTTTCTTATTTCAGTAATGGTTCTTAGTCACAAATTCTAGCTATTATAAGTAAAAAGGAATTTCTTAAAGGCTATGAAGTAACATAGAATCTTGAGATGAGTGGCTTAGAGGCTTTTTAGCCAGGAATATCACCCAAACCCTAGATCACATCTTGAGACTACACCAGCAGGCACCCCATTGCAGCTGCCACACAGCCCAGACTCTTTCGCTTCATGATTTATATGGAGTCCTGGAAGGCAAGA